AATGACAAGTTCTCCCTTTTCTACACAGCAATGAAACCATTGCACGTAGACTATGAGGATGCATGAAATGTGATGGTGTTTGTGGTGCTGTGACCCAATAGCCATGGCAACAACAGTGGAAAGACAGATTAACCCAATGCTCTTTCCCATCAACAAACATCAACATCAGCAAAACTGTGGTGATTTATGCTGGTCCTTTATCCACAAGATGAAAACTGCATTTCAGTTCTATGTTGCAGTTCTAGTGGTTGCAAAGTTTAATAGTGAATAGACCAACAGTAACTTCTGTTCTGAGAATAAGAAGACGAAGAAAAAAAAATCCCTTACAGAACTCTTTGCTTGTCTTTCATTGTAATGCAGGCTTGTCAAGTCTCATGTGATGAGCATCAAACTTGTTCTTTTAGTAACTGCTTTCTCATTCCCTGCTGTGGCATCTCCAGTTCATTCATCAGTAGTGTGCTGCCATGCAGCCTGATGTGTGAGTCTGGTCTGTTGGGATTTTAAGTATTTGCAGAGTCTGCCAAGGTCACAAACCCAAGCATCTATACAGCAGTGCAGAATCTTCATCTGTTGCAAATACAACATGGTTTACCCCATGACAAGATTCTATGTACTTTATCTGTCTTCTAGCCTGACAAGAACTCCCCACTGACTTTTTTCAATGGCTGTGTATTGGAGATCTGTGTTTGAGACAGATCTTGTCTGAGTGCCAAATCCACTATCAGTTTCTAGCTTAATTTCAGAACTGTAATTTGTTAATTTATGCTCGCCTTCTTGATGAAATAATGTGAAAAATGGGAAAGAAACATTTCTGATGCCTCTAATCACCATTTTCTTGCTTTCTATGTTTCCTGTTTACCTGTTCAAAAGAACTCATACTATTTTTTCAAAAAGAAATATCTAAAGAAGACATACCACAAGATTAACATTTTACAATCATAAGGCAAATTTGAAAACATGACAAACTGAGCGAGAGTGAACGACCTATATTGCTTTGTGAAATACTTGTGTTTCTCTTTTTTTCTGTTCTCTGCATCCAAAGTCCAATCCTAGGGTAAGTCACATTGCATGCTGCAATAGAAGAAATACTGTTTTCTAAAAGGTCAGGGCAAAAAAAGATAGCTATTTGACCTTATGGAAGAGAACATGACAGAAAACATTGTCAAGTGGTAGTGATCTTTCATAATGGCTAGAATTATGTACCTTGTAAGAACCTTTATTTTCTGAAATTAAAAATTGAAAAGATTTGTATGTTGATCTAAGAATTACAAGAAAGGAACTATGATCATTAGTTAACTGTCTTTGCCTTATTGTTCTCCATATTAACTCAGATTTCTTCTGCTTCTGAATCTCACATCTCTAGCATGGCCTAGATTTTGAAAGTTTTGAAAGCACAGAGAATATTTGCTCCCAATAGATGCACTGAACTAGTGAAGTTACATCGCATCTGTGTTATCTTTACGTATGTAGACCTCTAGTGCAAAATTGAGAAACAGCTTTGTTAATGTGTCCAACATTTCAGAGTTCATGCATTCAAAACAACTGGCTTGGTTACAAACCATCTGCCTCCTAGTATATTTATTTGTGTTCATTATTACAAGTTTTCCTACATTGCATATGTAGATCTGAAAGTTATTGTTTATCTTGTATGTGCTATAGAATAGTGTTTTGGGCAAAAACCAAGCTGTGTTATAAAGATTAAAAAGTGTCCTAAAATCACAGTGTTCTACATCCACATAAGTCAGATTGACTCCATGAACTATCTTACATGCAGCATGTTCATTCATGTTCATGGGTTAGTTTTTGTGATGACTTATGTTATTTGAATGACTTTTTTGCCATAGCCTAAGAAAAACTAATACTTCTTTTACTTCCTTTAGTTTCAATTAGCATGAATTTAGTTTCAATTTTCTGTGAATCTCATTTGGTATGAGAAAAAAAAAAAAAATAATGTAATTGTTGGAAGAAAAAATAAAAAGGAAGTAGTTTAATCAGTATACCTGAAAATCTGAATTGATATTCATGACTACTTCTCTGATGTTTCTACTTCACCTGTCTAAAAGAATAAGGTATTTTACTAAACTGGATCCCCTGTATGTTAACACCTGGTTAACCTAGGTTATTTCACCTAGGTGAAAATACCTAGTTCATAAAAATTAGGTTTAAAAGGGAGCTTCAAGTACACCGTGCTTCAAAAATGTTAATATATTATGACTCAGTGATTACTAATCAACAGAAACTGTTGACCCATGAATACACTGCTCTGTGGACAAGAGTATTTAGGACTATCATCACAGCAGGCCACTGGACTACCATGCTTGAGATAAGAAAGCTTGCTTGTGTCTAGCACTATACTATTTCATTCTGGTCCATTTCTCTCTGATACCATCTTCAAAAGCCTCTGAAGAAGACAGAAAGAAAAAGATGAAATTTCTGCCAGACAACAAAGAAACAAAAATGGAGAAATAAAAAATTACCTCAGTATCATCTCTTCAGCCAACACACAATGCAAAATGACAAGGCCAGGCTGGGTGGAGCTCTGAACAACCTGGTGTACCAGATGTACCTGATCAGCGCAGGGGAGTTAGAACCAGATGATCCTTTCCAACACAAACCACTCTATGACTGTACAAAATCAGTGTTATTTCTGCATTTTTAAGCATTTGAAAATTAAGAAAGAAAAATTATTGTTTATGCATATATCTGTTGACTTTAACATTTGCACTAGAAGAAAAAAATCCCCATGCTTTACAAAGTGATGTATGATGACGTAGAAGTAACACAGCTTTATATTCCATTAATAATTGCCTGTATGGAGTTTTTGGGTGAAAGACAGCTTCAAGACTTCATTGCTAAGATAAATGCAAATAAAATGGAAAGCTGTGGAGGATCTTCGTCTTGGGATAAATTTAGGAACCTGGCATCATTTAAGTCTAAAATTTCTAATGTATGTAAATCTACTTTAAAAGTTTAATATAATAGTAAATCCATTGTATCTATTTTCTAAATTCCATAATCAAAAACTTCTCTGAATTCTTGAATCTACTGTTTCATATATCTATTCAGCTAGGATTGAAAGTGACATTTCAGAATGAGAAATGTTTCATGGTAAACAATAGTTTAATATATATTCAGGATTATGTGATATATTTATAATATCTTCTAAAACCAAAACCCCATGAAACAAAGCTTTTCAGAAGAAAAATGCTCTCTGCTTTTTCCCTAATTGCAATTGATAACAAGTATAATGTGCCCTGTTTTTAGAGGGAAATGGGTTGTTACTCATGATTTTTGGTAGGTATTCACCTCAAATCAATAGTAATTTTGACAAAATTGCTTGCATTAATTAAGACTAAATTGCATGCATTAAAAAAAACCAAAAGTGACTCTTTTAGACCTACCCATGCAGGTGGGTCTAAAATGCTGAGCAAATTCAAGATATCTACAATGGCAGAAAGAGCAACATTCTGTTTCATGCAGGAAAGAAGGGTGAGCTCCAAAAAATGCACGATGTCTTTGAAAAGTACTTACTTCCTATCTTCATGTTATAGTGGGGTACATATAAAAAGCTGCAAATGAAATTAAAAACTTGCAAAGCTAGAATGAAATTTCTTCTGAGATACACTTTAATGCATGTTCATGTCTCTGTGATGCGATTTGTTTTTGTCACAGCTCCTATGGGTGCTCCACTTCATGTGGTGTATACCACATGTGTAAAGTGGATAACCCACAGGGCAAACTGCAGAACAGCTGCCTCAGCCACCACTGCTGCCTTCTCCTGCCCTTTTATCTGCCTGGGATGTATTAAACCCTGGGCAGACATTCCCAGAGTCACCCATTTTCACCCTTTCATTAGAGCAGAATTGCCATATTTTAAAGCTGGCTCAAGCACCCTTTATACATTTTTCTACCCTCTATAGACCTGTCCATTTGGGCCCAAGGTAAATACAGACTCTGCATTAGAGGATGAAGTTATGCAAAAAGTGCTGAGACAGGTATTTGAAATTTCTTGAGTGATGAAACACCACCTCATAATGACACCAGAACAGACATCAAAAACGGCTGCCACCATTCAGAAGTTATGTCCCCATGTCCACGCGGGGCTATGGCCATGGCTCAGCAGCACAACGCGGAGCTGCCCGACCCTGTTTGTCAGCGACCGGACAAAAGCCAAGCAAGCTAGGAGAAAGGAGGACAGCGGGATGCGGTGAGGAGACAGCCCAGGAACTGTCACTGTGCACAGCAAGGACACTGACCAGCAGTCCCCAAGCTGAAGGGCGCTCGGCCACTCAGCCCCAGCACTGGCTGTGGGCCACGGGGCCCGGTCGTGAGAACGGGACCAGCCCGAATGCGGGACCGGGATAACGGGGCGGGAGCGGGATAACGGGGAGGGAGTGGGATAACGGTGCGGGAGCGGCCCCGCGGCGCGGAGCCTGCCGGCGCGCCCTCCCCCTGCCCGCAGAGGGCGCTGTGCTCCGCCGTGCCCGCGTGTGCCCGCTCCGCTCCACACAGCGGCTCCCCGAGCGCCGCCTGCGCTCCCCGGGCCGGCGCTGCTGCTCCTGGCTGCGGGCGGTCAGGCCGGGACAGCAGCACATCCGCCGAGTCGGCGGTGCCTGCTCCGCCCGCTCCGTCTCTGCTTTCCGCCTCAGCACGAGCACAGCGCGCCGCGCCCCCGCCCCACCAGGGCGCTCCCTCTCCCCGGCCCCGCCGCCCTCTGCGGCCCCGATAAGAGACCGCGGAGCTCCACGCTCGCCGCGCTGCCCGCTCCGGGCCCGCCCACTCGCGGCCTGGCGCCGAGCACCCCGGGAGCTGTAGTCCCTTCTCTCAGAGCCGACGGCGGGGGACCCGGATAGAAGGACTACGACTCCCGGGAGGACACGCGAGCGAGGGCGGGGCGGGCCGGGGGCGGAGCGGGGACAGCTCCGGTGCTGATCTCGACGCGGGTTTGACGGCAGAGCCCGGGCGGGCGGCGGCGGCTGTCGGCGTGCGGGAGCGAGCGGCAGCGGGCGGGCGGCGGGGCCGCGCCCGGCGATGAGGCACGAAGCGCCCATGCAGGTCGGTCCCCAGGCCGGAGCCGGGCGAGGGGTGAGGCGGGCGCGGTGCAGCTGAGAGCCGGGACGGGGCAGGAGCCCCTCCGCCCGGGCCGCCGGGCCGGCTCTGCTGCTGCGCGTGGAGGGTGAGGACACCCCGTGCGTATAGAGGGACTGGGCCGGGTGCGACGGGTCGTGTCCCCGGGAGGGAGGGCACGTGGGGGGGCAGCCGGGCCGCGGGCGGGTTCCGAGTCACACTCGGGCACATCGAACGGTGTTTTTCAGATACTGCCCCTGGAGCGCCGGTCGCAGCTCTCCTGGGAGTGACTGGCTGTCAGGTGTTGGATGATGAGCTGTACCGAGGTGCTGCCCAGGTGCGCAGGAAGTTGGCACGATGCCTGTGTAGTCATGGAGCTGTTGTCCGCCGACATCGGGGAGAGGTGGCTCGTGGCTAGAGCTGGGGGTAGCAAAGAGGGGCCCCTTTTCAGCAGTTATTATGTAGGGAAAGATGTAATAGCACTGCATCAGCAGATGCCAGACAGATTCAAGTTATGTTATGCAGAGTTTTTAGCAGTTTCTGGGTTGTTGTCTCAAAACATTTTTTGCTGGTGAACTGTATTCAGTTATTAATTGTGGCCTGTTTTGTAATCCCACACAGGAGCTCTGGAGACCCCAGACTATGCATTTGAATATATGATTCTTTTTTCAGTAGAAAAGCATATTGGTAGCAATCATTTAACAATCAAGTGCAAAGAGCACTTTTTCAGTCTGTTATGATTTAAGTTATGAACTGCAGCTCCGTTAGCTAATGTTTTTCATGCTGGGTATCTACTCGGGCAGTTATAAAATTCAGGCTAAAAGAAGATCTACAACCTTTTGCCTGCTACATGTATGTGTCAGAAATGTTTATGTGGTATTTTCCATTTATTCACATGTTTGTTGGTCTGCTGAAGGCACGTTAATTGGCTTTGGAGAACATTTCATTAAAGGAAATTTTGCTAGTAAAGGGAGATAACTGTAGACTGGTTTCCACTGTATTTGACATATCTGACAGGTTGTTAAATTCACCAAAGTTCTTACATAGTTGTGGAAACAAAATAGTAATGCAACATTAAAACAGAATCTAAAGAAAGGAGAGTTCAGAAATTAAAAAAAAATAACAAAAATAAATCTTTACATGACAATCAGAGAACAACTTCTTGGTTTTTATCCAGATTGTCAGAAAAAATGGAATTATTGTTGAACATAATTGAGTAAAAGTCAGCAGAAATGCAGCCTCCAAATGAAGAGAGACAGCAGAAAGCTATAAACCCCCAAATAAATTCCATTTTTTCAAGACTGCTGACATGGTCAAACAGTGTCTATTTATAAGCCTATCACATTCAAAATTATAATAATACACATCTGTATTTTTCCAATATATGAAAATGCAGTCTGGAACACTGAGTTTGTTTCTCAGTTGTAGTTTCTGCAGGTTTTGTTTTTTTCAAATTTTCTTCTAGTTACATTATTCCCAGCATACCTATATATTATTCTTATTAGTGGTTCCATTAAAACAATTTTCTGCTGTGGATTCTTCTTCTGCAAAATCCTTTGTTTTCCCACATTAGGATGGTTGAACCATGTTCAAACAGGGTTTAGACTGGCTGAACTAATTGCTAGATTTGGTTTTTTTAGCTATGTGATTTTCTATTACATGAAACGAATCTTCTGTTGCTTCTTTCCGCACAATTTGTAACAGTGTTACAGACCTACCATCTCTGAATTGTAGAGCAAGAGTAAGAGTGAAAGTGCATGTCTTTTGATCCCATCAAAAACAACTCGGAGGAGAGTATAAGCTTTTAATTTTTTACATTTCCATCATGCAATAATTTAAAAGAAATCTAAAGTATTAAAATAGTTTAGCAGGATGAAAAAAAGGGCCCGAGTCCTGTTGCCATCTTTCTATGTTGGTGAGTTCTTTGTTTCAATCTCAAGCTCATGTAATATCTCTGAAGACAGGAAAGGCCAACAAGTACCGGAAAAACAGTCCTTCCAGGAAAGAGTTGCCTAGTGTAAAAGTTTGCTGCTGTCATCTGCTGCATGTAACTGAATCTGGATCACAATTTTTTCATTATTTTAGTATTTTTCACTATTTTAGCCATGTTTTCTAAGAGAAAAAATTTTTAGGAGTGCCTATGGGTATGGAGGGATTTTTAGTTCAAAAGTGATGAACTTTCTTTTCTGTGAAACACTGAATTCTGTATAGTTTCTGCCTATTGTTTTAAGAATTGGTCTGAATTACTTGAGATGTCTATATATCTTTCTCAGTAATGTCCCGAAGGCTTTCATGATACTTTCAAAAGTGCAGGTTCAGTGGGAAATTCTCAGGGATTCATGTACCAATTCACTCGCTTCTAGTTTCACTCCTTGTCTGATTGTAGAATGGAGATCTTCCATGCAGCTGCACTTTGCCAAATTACAAAAAGAACTGCAATTTGGATAACCTGTTTTTAGTGTTTATTAGAGCATATGGACATTAATGGTGGGTGGCAGATTGTAGAAAATGCTAGATCTCTAGAGTTACTTTCTTCCACTTGCCAGGACATCAGATCATTTCAATGGTGGCTGAGGGGAGAAAAAATTAGGAAGTGGAAAATAATTTGTAAATTATCTCCTTTGCCAAGGAAAGAAATGAAAAAAAAAATTGTTAGTTTTTCATATCCTGTTGTCACTTACAATAGGTATGTCTAGACATCCAGACACAACGGAGAAGGGCAATAACAAGCCAAAATGCTGCTTACAGATATATACAGAAGTTATGATAAAATTATGATGAAAAATGGCCAATCAAAGCTATTAGATACAGGAGTTTGCATGGCAATTCAGCTCTTATCACTCACATAAATGACTGAATAAGTCAGTGTTAGTTCATTCAGTGAGAAGCACTGGAGTACTAGAGCCTGCCAAGCCACTAAGTCCACAGAGAACTTTATATACACCTTTTAGTTAACCGATCTAGCCGCATCTGGAGTCTGTAGTCCTTCTTCTGACATTTCCCCATTGTGGAAGCTTGATCCCTTGCTGGTTAGATACTTACTGACCTCCAGCTTAGAGGCACTCATGGCTAGTTTATACTATTGATAACATCCAATGCTCCCGTATACATCAGTCTAAATAGTTCTCATTGCATCATGACCACACTACTATCCAGAGAAATAACTCATGTTTTGTTTACTGGGTTTTTTTTGTTTGGTTTGATTTTGTTTCATTTTTATTTCTGCCATGAGATACACTCTTCTTTCTTCTGATCTTCCTGTTAACCTTTCCGAGTGTTTTCCCATTTGAACTTGGGAACACACTTGATCAGAATTGTCATTAATGCTGTCTCACCAGTGCCCTAGACAGTGGCATTAGTATTTTACTTACTGTCTTAGCCTAATGCAGCTTCTCTGGCAAACACAAAGGTACACAGTCTTTCCTAGTCTCATGACCCTGAGTGCTGTACTAAATAGAGTAAATGGCAGAAGGCTTTAGCCATCTCATTTTCATTCTTTCATATTCCCTGGTAAATCTGAATTTATTTCTTCTGGAGTACCTTGGCTGACACAGCTTTTATTTTTTCTTTTCATAGCTGCACTATTTTGGTGGCCTCCTAACATCCTGTTTTATACTAACCCACTTTCAACTCTATCTTAGGTTTGAAGAAGGGGTGTTTTGCATGATACCTAGAGTGGGAATTAGAAATATGTTTCCTAAGCTGCCCTTTTCATAGACAAAGTAAATTTAGGTTAAAAAAAGAGAAATGAGGGATAGTTCGCTGGCTCAACACAAGAATCCAGGTGTTAGAGCCTTGCCAAAACTGTTTTTTACTCATGTTACATTCTACTGTCCTGGGCAGCTCCTGGCAGTGTGGCCATATACGTGCTAGTTTTGCTGATATGAAGCAAGTAGTGCTTCTCAAAGTGTTTTAGACCTAACATCTCAGTATCTTCTTGGTATTCCCCAAGTTCACATTTCAGTGTTCTGCTTAAAAAAACCCTTTGCATTTTTAGCTACATGTTTCTAATTGGGCTGTGATACGTTTACACATATACATGATTCTGACCTCATAATACCTTGAAGTAGATAAGCCTTTCCTGATGCTGCCAAGTACATTCGTTTACAAGCTGTGCTCTGCAGATGGCTGGCAATCAGTAAATTCCAAATAAGTGGCCGGTGCATTGTCTATTGAACTCTGTAAATTCTTATTAACTGGTTAAAAAATAAATGATAAAGATTTGTGAGAATCAGCTGTGGTCTTCATCTTTGGATATCAATGTGTTTGTTGAGATCACACCAAAAATACAAGAGAGTAAGCAGCTTGCCCAAGATGTAGAAAAGAAGAAAATAAAAGTCATAGGATGCCTCTAAAAGAGAAGATTAAAATCCAGTCCCTAGGTTAGTCTGATATTTTACCTCAAAAGTAATTAAATTCTTCATGATTGGGTCACAGTGTTCTTATACATAAGGATTTTGGTAACATTTTAACTACTCTGATGATGTAAGTTGATCTACACTTGAAAGACAATTATGTGCAGTGAGTGTCACTCACCTGAACATCCTTCATACAGTTTAATAAGTTACAGTCATTGATTTTTCCATTGTATTCCATTGTTTCAATATATTTTACAAAAGACAGAAAGATCACATTGCAAAAGACTGTATATGCAGGCAACTCCATTTTTACTAAGGCATCAGCTAAAGTCAGCTGCTGTATAGAAAGAAATAGAAGTGTATATATGTATACCCTGTATATAGGAAAGAACCATTTTTCTTTCCACTGGAAAGAAAATACACACTATGTGTGTATAAACACTGGTCAGTCAGTGCTCTTTCGCTCTAATCTGACTGAAGTGATCTATTAAAAAGGACTTCAGTTACCCCACTTTCAGGGGTAACTGACGTCCTTTCCAGGGAGGGCTGCAACAACACTAGACAGAAAGAGAGTCTTGCACTTTGAAACAACTTTAAGTGTGCTGATCAGTCTCTATCTGTCATCACTGTAAATAGAAGCAAGACATTTTCTTTGGGCTTAATGCCAATTTTCTCCTTTAAGACATGACTTTTAACAGAATTTTAAAAGAAAACAACATATTTGCTAAGGGTGGGAAGGAATTGATCTCAGTGTTTTTAATGTCAGGCTTTCTTGCCTTTTGCACCATATTTTCCAGGGGCAAATCATCCTGCACTAAGCATGCAGAATGGGGTATGTGTGTAAGTACAAACTAAAATTGCGTGCAGGCCAGGGAGGTCACAGCACCCTGCGCTGCTGAAGTAAAAAAGCTGTTCAGATTGATTCTGCCAAAGAATGAGGCCTGCCAAGGCCTAAAGAGTCACATCAGCAAATGTTTTGATATGATCATGAAGGTGACACAGTTTCAAACACAGTGTTCTGGCATTTGTTCTTAACCCTGCTCTTTGTTCACCTCTTCTTTTGGAATCAAGGAAATAGCTAAGCATGAAACTTAGAAAGCACATGGGTCTGAATAGAAAACTCTGCTTAATTATTAAACTCGCCTGTGCCCTTAAATAATCCACGTTTAAGGAGTTTAGAGATGTGCTGTAAGCAGGGAAGCATACAAAGCGATCCTTTGTTTGTCCTTGCACTATATTCAAATTGCCAACATAACTCCTGGCTTTGATGAGGAGCTAGCATCTGAGATCTCCTGTGTATAGGCTTTCTGTTCATTGTCTTGAGCTTAGACTTCTCAGTCGACTCTCAAGTCTGTCCTAACTCCTCTAGGAAATGGCCTGAGTCTGCTTTTGATGCTAATGAAAATAACACTGTGGATTTTCTCTTCAGTTTTAGTAAATAAGGGCAAAATTGTACTGAAGAGAAAACTCAGTGTGTTTTGTTGAAAACAAATGCTTGTTTAATATATCCATTTAACCTTTAAGAGAAGAACTCTTGTCAAAATAAAGGTATGCATTTTACTTTACTGGAAACAGAATATCTTAACGTTTGTGAGGTTTATGTGGTTCTCATCCATGTATGCAGTGTTTAGATATAGGTGGGAACACAGCATTACTAGTGATTGCTTCCAGCATAATTTCCAAAGGCAGACCATAGCATCATCATGATCTTCTTCATATTTTACAAAGACCTCCAATTCTAGGGACAAGTACCGTCAGGAGTGAACTGACATATTAATACCTTGGGAAGTGGATTACAGTGCATTCCATACTTAATTTTTAAGTCAGCAGCTTGCATTTAAGAAAGAGAAGCATTACAGGCTTATTCAAAAGTTCAAGAGGACCAAGCATCTGTATTTCCCTTACAGTCAGCAGAAATACAGATATTCCTTTAGTGTATCATTTGATTGTGAGCATAATTTGGATTGTGCTTGGAAGAATTTGTCTCCTTGCTTGCCACAGAAGGAGTGAGTTTGGGGAGTCTTAGCAAATGCAAAATGCAAAATGCAAAATGCAGAATGGCAAAGACTCAGCAACTGCACAGAGTTTCTTTACACTAGTGTGGGCTCATTTGGATTTTGGATAGGAGAAAGGATCACTATCAGTAGTCTAGGAGACTGGTTTGCTAAGCTAGTCGCTCCAAACAGTTTCAATTATTACCTCACTAATCCTCTTGGAGAAATCAGTCCCTTCCTATGCCCTTCCTAGGCATTTTTTTATCATCCTGTAATAAGCAGACATATTCCTGCCCCTGAAATAAAAACAACTTTGAGTCTATGTTCAGCATGCCTGTAATTCTGCCTGTGATACTGCAAGTAATGACTCCATAAGTTTATGGCACAGTGAAGGTGTTGGGCTTTTTACTTTTTTTTTTTTTTTCAGAAATGTTAAGGAAACTGCTGCATGAGTAATGCATATAACCACACATAATTTAGAGGAACGCTGAAATTTCTGTGGGTAAAGTCTGTATTTAAAACTATCCACAGGAAACACATTATTACTCAGGAAGGCTACACAATGTACGTGGTTTAGCAGGACTATTATTAGAATCCAGGTCTCCTGATTTCTCTGCTCATTGAATCATGCTGTTTCTGAAGTGTTAGGCATTAAAGTACATGGGGATGAGTTGGAAGCTTCATAGAACTTAGAGCAGCAAATGGATGAAAGCTTAAACCTCTTTTTGTAAATCTTAAGCTGGTTGAAGAAGCTATGTGAAAGGCTTCCTAGGAGATAAAGTCAGGAAAGAATATGATATTCCTCCTTGCTACAAGGGATAACTACTGCTTTCAGCTACAGCACAACAGAGGGGAGCCAGAGGGGCAGTGGAACAGGCAGCTGTAGCAAGACATAGTGGTCACACATATGACACCTGCAGCCACTGCAGCCTTTGGTCTGATAGAACTTATTGACTTGTTGTTGCAAACTCTACGCAACATCAGCATGTCCTGTGTTATATTGCTTTGTAGTGACTTGTGAGTAGACTAATTTAATCAATATTTGATTTCCTTTTTCTTGTTTTCTAAGCAAAATACCCCCAAATAGTTATACAATACGGGACAGTAATGAAAGTTTCTGTCTTTTCAATAGAGATAATAAAGCTGAAAGATTAGTAATGTGTATGCTTGATACTATTCAGCTTTTTATTCTAAAGCTTCTTTCTTGCATACCTGTTGAATAAGTGAATAAATATTAAGACCAATACCAACATTCAGGTTGCAAACATGTAGGTACCCAATACTACATTTAATGAAGAAGGTAATTCTGAAATAAAATTCTGAAATCAAACACTCCCTACTGAGTTTTTGCTATAAATCAAATTTATATAAAATATAAAATCAAATATATTAAATTTATAAATATAAATCTGACACTACATTTTCTAGTAAAAATTTGATACTTCCAATGTCTTTTTCAGAACTTTTTGTCCCCACTCCTATATGCCTCTTCAGTAGCCCAAAGAAGCCGTCATGTTTTTGGTGCTATGAGATAGCAGAATTATCTAAACCAATTATACAGTAACTGGAGTTTTGCTGAGAGTGTGGGTTAGTGCACAGCTGTCACCTTGGTTCCAGTTGTCCTTTCTGATTGCTCAAACGCATTCTGAGATGCCTAAATTAGAAAGCTTTTACATGAACTGCTTTTCTGTAAGCCTTTATGTTAGGTTATATGGTGTCTATCTTTTCGTCTTAAATGATCATGCAAAAGTGTTGTTCTTACAGTAATCATATTCAAAAAACTTTCACAGGCTCTTAAAATACTTGATCATTTTTGTTAAAAACTCAGCTGAGACATTCTAAGTTCTTTATCTTTGCCATTTGTTTTTGAGCAACCTAGTTAGAACTTTGGTCAGGTTTTCACCCTAATCTCTGCAATTTTCATGAAAGCGTGAGGTGTACTTTTTATAACTGGAATCTGTGATCTTTGAAGTCTCTAGATCAAAATAGGTTGCTCTTTAACAGTATTCAGTAATCTGTGCTTATTCAGGTGTTTTATATGGATTCAAAACTGTATTTTAAGGACTCAAATTTCAAAACGTTGATGTCATCCACCAGGACCACAGTTGGGAGGTGGGCCACTCCAAACATCGGCAAAGCCAAGTACAAGGTCTTAGACCTTGCACTGGTGCGACCCCAGCCACACCCACAGGCTGGGCAGAGAAGTGATTGAGAGCAGCCCTGTGAGGAAGGCTTGGGGGTGGTGGCTGGTGAAAAACTCACCATGAGCCCACAGTCCTTTTTCACAAGGAAATCCTGGGCTGCATCCAAAGCAGCATTGGCCAGCAGATTGAGAGAGGCGATTCTGCTCCTCTGCTCTGCACTCTGCTGGAGCACTGCATCCAGCTCTGGGGTCCCCAGCAGGAGGACAAGGAGTTGTTAGAGCAAGTGCAGAGGAGGGCCAGCAGGTTGCTGAGGGGACTGGAGCACCTCCCTATGAGGATAGGCTGAGCAAGTTGGGGCTGTTCAGCCTGGAGAAGAGAAGGCTGTGTGGGGACATCACAGACACCTTCTGGTATCTGAAGGGCCCACAGGGAAGCTGGAGAGGGATTCTCTGACAGGAACTGGAGTGACAGGGCAAGGAGGAATGGGCACACACTGAAAGAGGGGAAATTTATATTAGATACTAGAAAAAAAATATTTACTGTGAGAGTGGTGAGACACTGACACTGATTGCCCAGAGAGGTTGTGGATGCCCCGGCCTTGGTGATGTTCAAAACCAAGTAGATAAGGCCTTGAACAACCTGATCTAGTGGGAGGTGTCCCTGGCAGCAGGATTTGGACTAGATGATCTTTAACACCCCTTCCAAACCTTAATATTCTATTACTGTAACTGCCACTTATGATGATGTTGCATTAACATAACAAATTCAAAAAACTATAGAATGTACTAGTATTGGAAAAAAATCAAGACAGTATTTCAGAGGTGTATATACTCACTATTTAATGGTATGAGAACTAAAAGATGGTAAAAGAAAAATGCTTTGAGTAAGTTTATGGGCATGGCAAAAGATAGCAACATATTTACAGTAAAATAAATGGTTCAAGAATTTTATTAGATGTAAAACTTACTAAGCTTCTGTTTGGAAATATACCTGCTGTGTCAAAATGAAGAACCGATCTCTTACTTCTCTCATATAAATGAACTTTCATTGCATTTTCACCATCTATTCATCACATTTTCTGAAAACAAATATTTTTAGAGATATATTCAAGAGCTGTCCTGGATTTTTAGAATTATTTTTTTGTTGTTGTTTTGGTAACAATTACCAGTCATTTTTACATCCTCTGTTGCTACCAGAACTACTACTAGATACAAGAATCACAAAAAAATAATTAGATCTCTGTGAATTTCTTGAAGTTCACATTGAAGCATAGACATGACTAATCTTTCAAGAACATATTCTTCTTGAGTTTCATTGATACCAGGTGTGAAAAACCCCAATAAAATCTATCTTTTTAATATAAAAGAGACAATAAGATATTTCTTTTTCATTTTGAATTACAGATGGCATCCGTTCAAGATTCCAGATATGGCCAGAAAGATACATCTGACCAGAACTTTGATTACATGTTCAAACTGCTCATTATCGGCAACAGCAGTGTTGGAAAAACCTCCTTTTTGTTCCGATATGCTGATGATTCCTTTACATCTGCATTTGTAAGCACGGTTGGGATCGACTTCAAAGTAAAAACAGTTTTCAAAAATGAGAAAAGAATTAAGCTACAGATTTGGGTAAGCTAAAAAATAATTCTGTGAATGAAGCAAACTGTAGTAGTTTTGATAGCATTTATACAACTGCAGGTTTGCATTGAATGCCATAACCCTTTCATATTTAGAGAGAGCATAGGAATGAAATAGCAGTTAATAATTTCTTGTATAGTTTTCTATACTGAATATTAGAATGTAAACAGTATTTTAAAGGTATTGAATTACAGTTCTTTATCATTAATTCAATTCCTTTTGGAAGTAATACAGGTTGACACATATTTATATCTATGCAGTGAGCTATTAAAGTCTGCAATATATAGACTATTGAAAGTGATACATGCTATATCAAAGTACCTTGAAATACAAATTTTAGGGTCTGGTGTCTTCCCTTAAAAAGTTATAAATTCATGTAGGAGCTATAACAGTGGATGCGTAATAGAAGGTGTAATTTTTTGTTTTGTCATCCTGATCACCTGAAACATCTTCCATCTTCTGCTGAAGAAGGAAACTTGTGCAAAGAGATAGTGCTACCCAGGCATAAAAACTCCCTCATTCCTTGTCTATACCTTAGAGACAGTAGAAAGATGCCCAGTGGGGAAAAATGAGATGCCAGGGAATAGGTTTCCTTTTTCACAACCTCTCATCAAAATGAAATGATAGCCAAAACTTATTCCATAGAATCATAAAATATCCTAAGCTGGGAGGGACCTCACTCTTGGCCCTGCACAGGACCAACACAACAATCACTTCATGTGCCTGACAGTCCTGTCAAAAACTTCTTGAATTCTGGCAGACTTGCTGCCATGACTACCTCCCTGGGGAGCCTCTTCTAACACCCAACCACCATCTGGGTGAGGAACCTTTTCTTAATTTTCAGCCTAAAGCTCCCATGACACAGCTTCATGCCATTCTCTTGGGCTCTGTCACTGATCATAGAGACAACATATCAGCGCCTGCCCCTCTTGCCCTCACAAGGAAGCTATAACTGCAATGAGATCCCCCCCTCAGTCTCCTCCAGGCTGAAACAGACCAAGTGACCTCACCTCATCTGGCTTCCCCTCAAGGCCTCTCACCACCCTTGTGCTTCTTTGGATGCTTTCTAAAACCTTTGTGTCCTTTTTGTGGTGCCCAAAACCACACACAGGACTTGAGGTGAAGCTGCCCAGGGCATGATGCCATGGAGTGGCTACCTAGAACAAGGCTAGACAAGGTTAGGAGAGTAAAAGCTGGTGTTTATTAAAGGCCTTCAAAAGGTGCATCTTGGGCAGACAAAAGCCTTCCAAGAGGCCACACCCAAGATGGATGATGGTCATGATTTTTTTCAGATACAAGTTTGGTCCATTTACATATCAGGAATTAATCCTCCAATTACAGATCATGTAATGAAGTCATATACCCCCAGTTTTCTCTCCCCCAACTCACTTTTGCTTATACTTTTGGTGCCCTTGAGGTTCAGGCCTAAGGGAATTGTTTTGTCTGACCAAAATGTGAAGACAGTAGCTAACATTCTATATAAAGAGATTTAGAGTTATACACTAAAGCAGTACACAGTTTGAAAAATATGAAAGCTACAATTCTAAGGCATTATTCCCTCCAAAGCCACAATTCCTCTAGGCCAGAGGAATGCAGAGCAGAGCAGGACAATCCCTTCCCTTGCCTGGCTGTGCCTGGTGCACCCCAGGACACAGTTGGATTTAGGACAGATTCACTGATGCTTACACCCCTCATTCTTGGGTGAGAGGGTGATACTAAAAGGAGAGGGAAGAATAGCAAGACCTTTAGTAATGTGGAGCTAAAGCTTCAGCACTTCCTGGCGTGCTTGAGGACTTTGAGCAGTGTTGCCTTTGTTAGACATTTGTAGGAGCCTTAAACTTCAAATTTTCTTTTTTTTTTTCTTATGAATACAACTAATTAAAAATTTGTTTAATGATGCACAGCCATTAAGTCTCAGAAAATCTTGGTTCAAATCTGACCAGTTCATCAAATAAATTGAATATTTTCTTAATATAGTACAGTGGAGAATTTCCCAGGGTTCTCTAGACTTTATCTCATTAGGCTTCAGCCCTTGGTATCTCCCCCTCTAGGAACTAGAACATAAGCTTTTTCTTCTTGCCTCTCAACCTTTTTAAGCTTATTTATTTTAAGCTATTGTGATTAGTATAACAGTGGTAAATGCGAGGTACCTATATATCACATGAGTATTATATAAATATATCACTTCAATAACATGCTGGTTTCATTTTAATAGTTTAATGCTGGAGATCTCATTGACATAACCTTATTATTTTTTTTATAATGGAGCAATAATACTGTGTTCATATTACAGTTTTTACACACTTCTTCCTTTAATCAACAAGTAACCATTGCAGTAGATTTTATTGTTCATATCTTTCCTAGCAAAAGCAGCAATGTTAGTTTACAGGGTTGTCATGTTAGTTTGACACCGGTATACCTTTTGCCTCTCCATGTCACAAAAACATGCTTAGCTCAAAGCTGTCCAGTGATCTATATGTGTTCAGGTTGGTCACTGGCATAGATGGGATGTAGCAGCTGCATTCCTTCCAGTTCTAGTAAAATTTGCATGGCATTAACATCAGACTTGAAGCAGGCTCTGAAGTTAAGAACAAACTGTCCAAAAAGTTCTTTCCGAAAAAACTTGCAACCAAAGTGATTGAAACAAACCCAGTGCTCCTCAGGAAAGAGGAAACAGAGGCTCAGAGCATAGAAGAGACCTTCCTGCTTTGTGAAGAGTCACGTGCCAGGATGTAGGATTAGAGACAAGGCTTCAGATTACACTTTCATAGAAAAGGGTTTTATCCAAGCCAGCACTGCATCTTTATTTTGTTGGTGGTTGGATTTTTTTCGTTTGTTTGTTTTTTTCACTGAATTTCTAATGCCAATTCTTAAAAGGCCTTGTCATTGCCAAAGTAAGTCAAATTGCAACAGCTCACTTATAGCTGTCTGTGCTTTTTAGATGGAGTGTTCTGTGTTCGAGCATTGTGTTGCAGTTAAGCTTGCTAGTAAATCCTTGGTTGTTGCACCTCTGAGACCTTCAATAAAATCAGTAAGGAATCTCAGAAAGCTATTCTAGCACATAAAATCTGAAATAGAGCACTATTTCCCTGTCTCCTAAGTTATAACCAGAGCAGAATTGTTCTTAATAGGCATTGTCTGTATATGTGACTTGTGTCTATATTATAATTTGTTATTTTTATTGGTAATGCTAATAAGTTTCTAAAATGAATAGTTCTCTTGCAATATTCTTTCCATTTCATTTATTCATTTATTAATTTATGAAAGTTTATATTAGATAGAATATAAAATCATACTGAGTGAATCATAGTGAGCAGTGATTTGATGTTAAATCCGAGTAGAATCGTGAGGTTATAATACTTGCATGAAGTTATAACACTTCCCTCAAAATCAGTGACAAACTATTTGGTGGCATCATGTGATAACTGATGTTCAGTATATCTGAAATAAAATATTATTGAAAATCTCACAGTTTTGTAAACTCAGAAGATTGGAAATGCAAAATGTATTTTGAATGACAAAATCAGAACTGAATTACTTTGTCATGCACTTAAGTGAAGAAATGGAATAATGCTGCTCTGCTATTCTTGCTTGACAATAGAATGCAGAACTATGTAAATAGTAATGCTGTTAAGTCACTTAAATTCCCTATCTAGACACACAATCAATCCAATCCAGTTTTTCCTGTTAGAATTTTGTACATACTCTTCTAGGTTAATGTTCCTGTTTAATAGTGCTTTCAACAAGATTCTTTGTGTTCAACTTGAAACCTGTTGGAGCTTGCAGATTCCACCAGAATAAGATTCTCATATGCTTACCAGTGAAGGCTACAAGTTTGTTTAAAGTCAACATGGGCACTCAAGGAAGCAGAGTCATTATTTAATAATAAAATTCACAGTGTATTATCACAGATGAACTAGGAAGAGTTATCAGATTGAGGTAGCTGTCTTTACATACTGGGATGCCCTGCAAGTCTTAAGGTTTTTCTTGCTTGGAGGCAATACTCTCTTATTCTTGAACTGTCTTCTTTAATTTTTCAAGTGAGAATTTTTCAGGGAGGATGGTGCTCCATCTAGTTCCTGCTGTAATGTCATTTTAAAATGGTCAGAAAGAGCTTGCTGGGAGCACTGTAACATTTGCTTCTTTTCCTTCTGAGCCAAATGTCTTCTTTCCACAGTATTTACCACTGGAATTGAAAGCAGTTCAGAGTTCAAGTGGTATATTGATTAGTGGTAGCACATTACCCTGTCATAGGACCACCATCTGGCCCTGAAATTTTGTTTCACTGCACATTGTAAGTGTGACAATCTGCTATGGACATTAGGAAGACAGAATATTAACATGTCTCTTACTTTTTAGAAGACAGGAATAAAAAAAAAATGTGCTTCACCTAAAAAAGTATTGATTTCTCCGTTGAAACTATACAAAAATTTTGTAAAGAGAAGTTTGTATGTAGCACATACAGACTCAGGATAAAACCTATTAAAGGGTTTTAGGATGTTTTAAAGTGTAAAATAATAAAAAATTAATATATTTTTCCTACATTTGGTTTGATTTAGTAATATTAAAGGAAGGAGCTGAAACCAGAAGGCTATAAATTTTTCTTACTTTCAAACTTAGATTGAATTTTTAAAAAATTATTTCTCTGTTGATTCAGACAAAAATACATTGTAACTTAAATTACTAAAAGCTCAAAGGTGTGAAAATCAGAAAATAAAAATAAGAACCTTTGAAATCTATCTGCAGCTGAGGTGCTATAAAGCCTTGCATTCTTCTGTCAATGGTATAATACAAATAACAGCCGGTAAGAGTTTATGGACAAATTATAGGCCTACTTGGACAGTAGAATTTGTTAGCTAACATGTCAAAATAAACCACAGAATAGGGAGAAAAAAATAAGGAAAAATAAATTCCAGATACTGACTCTTAGAAGAAAGCATAAAATTAGCAAAGTCAGGTCAACATATTTAACTCACAGTTTATCCATACCT